TGGCTTGACTGTGTTTTCCCAAGTGGATGCTGGCTTGACCGCAGTGGACTTTGCCAGTGCCCCATGTAGCAGTGATTATTATGATAAGGATAGGTATCCTTTGACTTGAGAAGTCGATACTACTTGGTACCAGGTTATTTCGGTAGGTACCCAGCCCTAAATATATATGTACATTGAAGAAATAAATGGTGTCATTTACATTTTCAGATGCAGAAATGTATATTGGCTATTTGTTGCTCTGCTATAAAAAAGATTGCCATCATCCCTCAAAAAAACATAATCTGTTGACCTGTAGAGTATTTACTATTTGTGTTTATAGAAATACAGTTTTGCATTGTATAAGTGTTTTTTGTGTTGCTCTTTGTTGCTGCAGATTGAAACGCGAACTCTGCCTGTCTGGAGTCTGCGCTTTTACTGTGGGCTCAAATGTATGTGGTGAGAATACAATTGTATTTTGGTTTAACCCCCTTCCACTCGGTTATGTGATTGGCCATTGTGTGATGTGTCACACTAAATGCTTTTAAAACAGTTGTGTCACTACTGTTACTTAGACCTTCCCCATTTTATTATTGATTGATGTTTCATATTTCATTTTGACAGCTTGTCTTGCATTTTTGTCAGCATTTTCTCATTTGACATTAATCCTTCTTTGTTTTCATTTCTCTTTTGCAGTGAATGGTGCTGCAAGTTCTCCAGAATGTTGCTGTGAATGTGGCGTTGTAAGGCCTGCCCCTCAGTTTTACCAAGTAGGTCCCAAATATTAAAACATTATCGAGTGAAACATAGATATTATGGGAATAATAATCGTTTTCCTTGTGTATATGTAAGCTGCCCCTGCACTTTTAGGACGTGGAATGCGCTTTTAATTCATTTGAATAGATTTCATGTGACTAAAACCAGTTATCAATCCAAGAGCTGTATATTTAGGTGCCAGTTATGTAATTGTAAGGATCTTGTCTCGGAAAGGTATTACTGGGCTCACATTAATGCACACCTTAAGAAAAATGAGGTTGTAACTTGCATGTTTTTAGATTGCAACTTTCAAACAAATATCTACGGAACATTTAAATCCCACAGGAGCAGAAAACATAGTTCTTATTCAGTTACAGATTTTAAACCAGAAATTGTGACATCAACCACCTTTGTTTCTCTGGAATCTGCGCTAAATACTTCAGATGATGAAATAGGTGAGGCATACTCTGATGCACAACCAGATTGCAGTGTTTATGCCCCGAATGACCTTCCAAATGTAATTGAACAAACTTTTGCTGCGGCTTTGCTAAAGTTAGAACATTTAACCCATGTACCAAGCACAGCAATCAATGATTTTTTGCTAGAGCTTCACCACTTAACTAGCTCTCTCTCTCGTTCCCACACTGATGGCGTTCTAGTTGATATTTTTCAGAAGCACAAGCTCCAGGTTGACAGAGCTATCAAAGAGGAAATAACCACCTCTCTGTGCACTGGGAATCCTATAAATAAAGCCATAGAGAAGGGTGGTCCTTTGAGTTCTACATATCAACGTAAGCAGTATTACAAGGCAAACTTTAACATTGTTGAACCAGTTGAATGTATTTTGGATGCTAAAGAGAACAAAACCTTCCAGTATGTCCCCATTCTTGAATCTCTACAGGTGCTGTTGAATAGGAAAGATATTGTGGACAAGTTAGTTTGTAGTCACGAAACGCAAAGGGAAACAGAGACAGCTAAAGAAATTGTGTACAAGTGTTTCAGGGATGGTCTACATTGTAAGCAAAACAGTTTATTGTCAGGTCAAGAGTTAAGGGTATCTATTGGTTTGTATGTTGATGACTTTGAGGTCTGCAACCCTCTTGGCACCTCCCGTAAAACCCACAAACTTTGTGCTGTGTACTGGGTGCTGAGTAACTGCTGAGGGTCTCATTCCTCTTTGTCCTCCATTTACTTAGCCATTTTGTGCAAAACAGACAATGTTAAGACCTATGGCTATGACAAGGTTTTAGAGCCACTTCTACGTGATCTCAGGTCTTTGGAAGTTGATGGATTTTGTCCCACAACTTGGAACATCGCTGAAAGGTACAGTTCAGACTATTGCTGCAGACAATTTAGGAGCTCATGGATTAGCGGGCTTTGTTGAGAATTTTTCAGGCACCTATTTTTGTCGTTTTTGTACTGCAACAGCTTCAGACATTGCATCGAATGAGGTTAGAGCAGGAACTTTCAGCCTCAGAACAAAATAAATACATGACACTCATGTCAGAGCAGCCCTAGATAGTGGCAGTAGCTATTTTGGAGTTAAAAGAGCTTGTCCTTTGACTAAAGCGCTTTCTCATTTTAATGTCATCAGTGGCTACCCTCCTGACATTGCCCACGATCTCTTTGAAGGCATTGTGCCTGTTGAAATAGCACATTGTCTCACATTTCTAATATCAAAGAAGTATATAACCTTGGAAGATATTAACAATTCCATTCTACATTTCCCATACAAGTGGACAGACAAAACAAATAAGCCTCACATTTTGCCACAAAATCTCTCACACAGGAAAACCATAGGTGGTAATGCCCATGAAAACTGGTGCTTGTTAAGATTGCTCCCATTTCTAATTGGGCCTAAGATTCCTGAGCATGATCCAGCATGGCAGGTCTTGTTGGACCTAAAACAGATTGTTGAGCTTGTGGTTGCCCCAGTTCACAACGACGAGTCTATTGCATACCTTGAGAGCAACATTTCAGACCATAGACAAAGGTATCGAGAGGTTTTTCCTAACAATAGACTGCGGCCCAAACACCACTACATAGAACATTACCCACAACTAATAAAGTTTTTTTGGGCCTCTTGTGGGACTTTGGACTATGAGGTTTGAGGCAAAGCACAGTTTTCTTTAAAAAGATAATCAAACACACCAGTTGCTTTAAAAATGTGCCCCTATCTCTGGCTGTGAAACATCAGTTTATGATTGGGTACCACTTGTCGTCTCCAAGTATTGATAATCAAATGCTGGATGTCTCAGATGTATCTACTGTCCCGTTAGATGTTTTGAAGGAGGAGCTAGTTCAAGCTTTTAAACAGAAAGATCCTGACATATCTGAAATACACCTTGCAAAAAATGTTTGGAGCAAGGGAATAAACTACAGGACAGGTATGGTAGTTGTCCATGGGTCTGAAGGTGGCTTGCCCGAATTTGGGGAAATCCATCAAATATGCATTTTGCATCAGAGAGTGTTTTTAGTCTTGAAACTGCTGTGTGGATGGTATAGTGAGCACTACAGAGCCTTTGAGGTGACTCCATCTCCGTCACGAGAACTTGCTCTTGTGGAAGTCTGTGAACTGGTCGATGAGTGGTTGGATGTGTGCGGATGGTGACTTTGAAGAGGTCAATCTGTGTCTGAGGTAAAGTAACAAATGAAACACTGCTAGTATGTACATACTAGGGGCTTAATGGTACACCAAATTCATGGTTCGGTATGTCCCTCGTTTTTGGGGTTGTGGTTCAGTTTGTTTTCGGTACAACAGGGATATTTCTAAAAATCCAGAACATATATATATATATATATATATTATTTTGAATAATGTAACATTCTTCCTGTTAAAGTTAAGGCACTCAAATACTGGCATATAAGAAAAACATAAATAACTAAAATAAATATTACAAATGTCAGGAATGTAATGTTAATTGTGGAAAATGCAGTGACTTTATTTTTACTACTAGAATTACATTTGTTTTTATTACAGACTAAAGTACCGAAAATAGGTACCGTTGGGTACTGGTATCGGTACAAATGTGAACAGTACCCAACCCTATATATTGGTCCAATACAATTCCAGATGTTTTTCACAATGAACCCTTTAAAAAAAATTACAAGCGTTCACTCTTCTCCTACCAAGCCCCATGTACTTGAAATAAACTAATTCTAAACCTTTTATTGTTTATTTACTCTCTTTCCTAACAGACGGTGAAGAAAGACCATGATGACATCAGCTGTTCTCAGAGTAATCCTAGGAGCAGACAGCTGTCAGAGGGTGGTGATTTATGCTGGCCTGCCTTCAACTGTGAAAGAACTGGAGAACGAGATAAAGACTCAGTGTAATGTAAAGGAACCCTTTCGGCTGCAGTTTATGGACACGCTTTTTGGCAATGAATTTATGAACTTAACTTCCATGGGAGAAATACAAGACAAAGCTACAGTCAAGGTCATATACACATCCTGCAGACCTCTCAATGCTGGTGCAGATCGATGTGTGGACAGTTGCTCCTTTCCAACCAGTCATCCTGATGAAACCACATCTTCTCTAGGCGACAGCACCGTGATTCTCACATCTCCAGAGTCCACTTCTTCGCGGTCTTCATGGCCAGATTTCTTCCATGTTCCCCGTTTTTCTTATGATGCAGAGATTATGCTTGAGAAGGCCCACGGAGTTCTCAGAGAAGAAGGGACACTGTTGATCCCTGATTCAAAGCTCAAAATTCAAATTTAGGGAGGAATTTGGGCCTAGAGTTAAAAGAAAAATACCGTGATGTCACAAATTAAAATGACTGCAAGTTTTGTGTAGCACAAGTTCTTATTATACCTCCTTGACAACAGAAACACACAGCCCATACTGCTGGTGTTATGTCCCTACTGGTTTTCAGACTAACTGGTTTCCATATGTTGTGTTTACCGAACGCAGCAGTTGTGGTCTGCCTCTGTCACCAGATTCGTCACACATTCACAAACATATTATTGGCGATTTTCCACATCTCGTATCTACTGTGGTGAATATGATTGTATAAGTTAGCACCACATCAAAGCCGCCGCCGCCAAAAAAAATGTTTGTCGAAAATATATCTTTTGCAAGATCGCGTCGAGCTGGATTAGATCTCGGTAGAGCATTCACACCCAATATTCCATAGCAGAAATCAAATGCTGAGCAAACATGCATAGTGCATACAGTTATGTGATTGGCTGGTGTAAGTTTAATGAAACAAATGTGTGCATGTCAGTGGGCCGTGTTGTTAAAAAATTGTTTCATTTTGTTTCAGGTTAACGCAGAGTTCAAGCGGATTACAACTATGCCTCTACAGTCAAGGTTCCTGTCACAGCTTGACCTACACTCCGCAAGTCTGCTGAGGGTGTTCTCGAAACAATCGGGGCAGCAGGGCAAGAAGTTAAAAGACATGGCTGCCATGATGACAGTAAGAACTGTGTGTGTGTGTGTGTTCCTTTTCGGCTTTAGGTCAGTCTAAAATCAATTACAATGGTAGATTATCCCAAAATGTGACTACTCCATAGGTTCAATTTGAGTTAAAATGTCCCTATATTCTTTGTTTTAATCCTTAAGGAAGACATCGATGCTGGCAGGGAGTGCCTCATTAAAGGACTCTGCATCTACCTCAACGAGGATCCTGAGGATCTGGTGAAGGAGTACATGGTGAGTGTGTGCTAAAGTAGTAGGCCACATTAAAAAAAATGTTCGTTTGAACATGTTTTTAAGAAAAAAATAGCCTCAGTTAAAAGAACCTCATTTGACCAGATATACCAGACCATATTACCAGACCTTTTACATAGCTGTTTTCCTGAAATTGATATTGACTTATAATTGGTTTTGTTAGAATTAACATGGTCTATCAAGACTGAAAATTGTGATTTGTGTTTTTCTGATTGCAGAGACACATTCTAATGCAATAGTCTTAAGGACAGCTCTATCTTCCTCAGGCTGCAGTATCCTCCACCTGTGGGGTTTATATTACATGGGGTGTATTATGAATCAGGAGTAGGACCTAATGCTTTGCTCATTAGTCTCCAGAATTTGGTGTCATTGCATTTCACCTGTTTATTCTCTCTAACCTTCTCCTCTTTTGAAAAGTCTGTGATATAAGATAAGATGGACCTTTATTAATCCCCGTGGTAAAATTCAGTTGTACAAGCAGCAACAGGGTAAGCGTGAATAACAGGACAGCACAGATTCACACAAATTAATAAAATAAAAAATAAAATCAAGAAAAATAAAAGATAATAATAAAAGATTATGAAATAGGAGATGAGTAAAGAGTAAAATAACGGTCAGCATATATACATATTCGGTCATATAAATTATGAAGTACGAAATTAGTTAAAGTGACATCTGTACATATAGTGACATCAATCTACATATTTGGTCTACTACTAATATATTAACATGGGTTGTGGAAACGGTGTGTATTTATGTCCAGTGATTTTTTTTACATTATTGATATATATATATATTTACCAATAATAATTACCATTCACCTGTGTTTATTCACTCAATTTAATCTACAATCTGTTAGCCAGGCTGGTGAAACCCACAGGTGAAAACAAACCAGGTCTTCTTCGCAAGCAAGCAACTTTCTGGATGCATTGTGCTAATTTGTGGAGTGCTACAGTGGAGTGTACCAGTATTGTCAAATTAGCAAATTGTGTCTTAATGAGGTCTGAATAGAATAAAATAAATCTTATCCTTAAAGAAATGATTTGTCTTCCACCAGGACATGACTGAGGCCAACACACTACGTGAGGTAGAAGGAACAACAGTGGGGATCTATGTTGCCAGAGAGACTCCCAGCAATGACTATTCTGATGTGGGAGTAATCCTCGAGGGTGTGGTGGTGCTTCACGATCTGGAGAGTGTGGCTCTTGCAGCTGCAATGCTGTTTGGACTCATGTATGCCCTAAACATGAATTACCCGTTGAAGCTCCGCTACACCTTAGAAGTTCTTCAAAAGGTTATAATGGAGTTGGATGCATCTGACCTTTCAAGAAAGGCCCAAAACTTGAAAAGGAAAATGCACTAGTGAAGAGAGCTCACTGTCCATGTTCACGGCTCACTGTTCCTACACTGTTCCTGTAGTTGATTTAGATGCAGGTTTAGAGCTACAACGTTAAGGGATGTTCGCCAGCACATATACTAAGAGACAGACCCAGGGTTATGGTGCCTCGAAGCGGGCAAAATGTGAAGTTCACCACACCTTTTATTTTGTATTTTACATGGCACTTTATTGAAAACAAATTAAAATTAAAAAAACACAAGTGGTCATTCATTAATAAAAAAATGTTAAATTATGCATTCCTGGACTAAGTGGTGTGGCTGGTTCTCCTACCACCATTCCGGTTATTGATGCCTTGTGCAGGGGATGCTTTTTATATATATTTGTTTTAGTTTTGTTTACCTATTGTAACGAAATTGCTAAACAATATGTAAGGTCCTTTTTAATATTTGTACTTCTCAAATTGGAGATTGGATGTTTTAGAAAGACTTGAGTGATTCTTTAATCTCCCAGGAGTTCAAAACTTTTAATCCCTATCTGATCAAATCAGATTTGGATTTTGGGGAGTTCAAAACCAAAAAAACAGGATTAGGATCACTTTGATATCCGATCAGATCAGGAAATCCAATCCAAGCTTTAATCTGAATCAAATCTTCAAAACGGGTAGTTCAAACCGACAACACAGGATTGGGATCAGTTTGATCCCAAAAAACTGGATTATCCTGATCCCACCAGAGGGGTGGATTTCCAGTGGATTACCAGAGCAAAATGTACTGTACAATTTATTTTAAAATATGTTTCAATTTAAATTAGATGGCAAAGTTTGTTAACTGAAATAATACACAATTTTTAGCCTTCATGGAAAATACATTTTATTTTTCCATTTTTTGCTCACGTTTGTGGTGGCCTATTTTGTTTTCAACCAAATGTTGATGACATAAATGTTTATGCTCATAAAAGTATCACAACAAAGATTGTCAATCACAAATGTAATTTCCATTAAATTAAAAATATCTTCAACAAAAATTGGAATTCAGTGAACAACCGGCTCTCTCTGAAGATACGTGCATCGTGGACTGACCCAGGCCATCTCACAACACAGTTGGTGATGGCAAGGTCAGCATCTCCCACAAGTTGCACATTGATGCTGTGCCTCCCTTTCCTGTTGACATATTCCACTCCCTCTGACGAAGTGCTTGAATATGTACATGGGTGCAGTCGATCACCCCAATGGTGTTGGGCATGTCTCCCAGAAGAAAAAACTTCTGCTTCACTTTGGCAATCTGGCCATCAGTGGGAAAAGTCACAAAGTGATCCAGCAGGCGAGCCAGTGCATCAGACACAGCTGTCACCACTTCACCCACTGTTGTCCTGTGGACTCCCATGCTGTCAGCTATGACCTCATAGAATGTTCCACATGCGTAAAAGCGCAGGGCAATGAGGACCTGTTCCTCTACAGTCAGAGCATGACTCCGCAAGGTTCTGCACTGCAGTTGTGGCCTGACCAGATCAGCAATGTAGTTGATGTCATCAAGTCCAAATCAAAAACGATTGTACAGTTCTTCTGTTGTGTACTGTTGGATAGGTTTGGGGCGCTCGGTGTGGACCCTTTGGCGGTAACCTCTCCTTCCAGCATGGAAGATGTGAACAATCCCTGCCATGACTGTGTTCTGACTGTTGTTTCTTTCAGTCAGTAGGCCTACATCAGTCTCTGAATAACAATTAATTGCAAATACACACCTGGAATGAATGTCCAGATTGGTTAGGGCCTGTGGTTAATTATGTAATTAATAGCAAGGCCATATAAAACTAATTGCTGACCTGACCAAACCATTGAGTTGGAAAGATGGTCAAAAAGGGGCCTAATTTTACATCTGCTGAGACCCATGCACTGCTGCTGGGTGTAAGGAACAATTATGACTCCATAGTTGGTTGCTTTAACAGAGAGGGTGGAGCGACTAAAGTAAAGAGCGGAATATGGATGGAAGTTACAGACAATGTGAATGCCACAGGATCTGGACACAAGAGGACGGTGGACCAAGTGAGGTTGAGGTGGAAGAATTTGAAGCAGCAAGCTACCAAAGACCACAGCCAGGCTAAAAACCCACAGACGGGTAACAAACCACATAAAAGGGGACAATACACAGATGTGGTACTTGATATCATTGGTGGTCAGCAGTCACAATCTTTACATGGAATACCAAACGTTGTACTGGATGGTGAGTCGCAGGTATGTGTGATTTTATCCTTGTTCCTATAGAACTACAATTATTATCTTGTATAATTGTTATTTTCATAGTACTACAATGGCTATATGTCTTATAGCATCCTAGTACTACAATTTTCCAGGTTGCATGCTTGTGATCATCTTATTAAGGGGTATAAAGTATATTGATAAACTTTCATTTCAGGTCGTCAATGCCCCTGATGTGACACACACCATTGAAGATGAGGTCCTCCTGACCCATGTGGATCCAGAAGCTGGACCTTCAGCCAGGCCTGATAACACACTGCAAGAGCCACCTCTAAAGAGAAAATGCAAGCGCTCCAGAAAACCAGAGCAGAGGGATGATGCCTACGAGACTGCTGAGCCGTGAAACGGAGAGGGCAGAGATGCAGATCCGTCTGGCCGAAAAACAAATACAGCTGTGCCGGCTTTAGCAAACTGAAACCTCACTGAGAATTCAGCTCCTCAAAGCACGCCTGGATGATCCAGCTGCCTTTGAATGAATGCTTTATTGTTGTTACCCTAGTGGGAGTATTTTTTTTAATTACAATTTCATTATGATTTGATGTCCTTTATGTATTTAAAAATATAATTAAACATTATGTCTCTGCAATGTGGTCTCTTGTCTTCCTTGTATTATTTTTCATATCCACTAGATGGCGAACGGTAGGATTAAAGCACTGATATTCAGGATCTAGTCATCTTGAAAAATCGTAATCTGGATCAGACTGATCCTATCCTGAATTGCTTTGAACTCCAGGGACAAAATTTGGCCGACTTGTCTGATCCTGGATCACAAGAAATGGGATTTCAAAATCTGATCGGATCTGATTGAGATTAAAAGCTTTGAACTCTTGGGCCCTGGTTCTGGAATAAAGGATTTGAAACTAAACTAATCGTTTTCAATGGAAAAAAAGTGGGTTATGTTTAGAGTGATCAAGAAAAAGTTAATTGAACAGTATTAGACAACAAGAACACATGTATTGCTGACATTTAATAGTTTATTGTACTTTTATTTAAAAATCTGTTTCATATTTACATTAAATTATATTTCTGAATATAATGTATATTTTTATATAAAACAAATTACAATTCTGAAAACATGTAATTCACATGGGAATATTAAAATAACAAATAGTGTTAGAATAAAAGGGATTGAATTGTGTTTGAATAAAGGGATCAAATTGAGTTAGAATAAAAGGGATTGAATTGTGTTTGAATAAAGTGATCAAATTGGGTTGGAGTAAAATCATGAAAGTGTTTAATTTACTTTATTGAAACACATTTCAATAACTTTGAATCAACACAAAGTACTTGCGTTGATTGGACATACATCGTTTGTGTTGATTTAAAACAATTCTATAGGCTGCTACCAAAGCAAACTATTGGTGTGCAACCAATGTCCACAATTGAATTGAGTAAATCCAATGTGTTCTTTTTTTCAGTGTGTTTGGGGATTTTATATCCAGTTTACTTCGTTTTAACATTGCTATTGCTTTGTATGCCGGGGGCGGGCGGGAGATTCCTGATTGGGTATTGGTCGCCTTGGGCGTGAGAAATCGCCAAGCCTCAGACACGCCCAGCTTCAAGATTTTTTTATGCCTGTGTAGACGGGCCGTTAGGCCTATTTGATGATCAAATCACTGAAACACAAAGTCCATCCTCCTGTCCTTTTAGATGAAGCACTTGCGGGTCATTCAGCTGATCCTTTGCCACTCCAGTTTATCATTGTAACTCAATCTTGAAAATGACTCGGTTAATAATTTCGCAACGATGTCATCATCACTATCACTGAAGTGAGCCATCATGAACGAACTTATGCTAATTATAAATCTATCGATCATAAATCTATCGATTAGATTTATGATTCAAAAATAATAAAGGTAGGATAGACATGTGGATGTTATCCGGCTGAACACAACGTGCATTTATCAAACAGGTTCGTTTTCCACAGATCTTATTTCGAGCTATTTTCCAAAACCCTAGGGAGAAATCTCACTGCTTTCTGTCGAGGGAATCCGAGCGCAGCTTACTTCCGGGTTTTAGGACGTGTCACTGCACCACTTGCATAGACCCAAGCCCCCAGGAAGTGCGCCGGAGTCTGATGAGAATATTCGTGCTGGTCAAACGGCGGTACTACACTTCCTTTAGGTTGCTGGGCCCGGAAACACTTTTTCCCATTGACTTACATGGGGAAAGAGTGGTCTGTAACTCGTTGGATAATTTTTTTTAAACTAAATAAACTACCCAGTATTAACGTTTGTATAGCCCTTATTAAAAACATTCGTTCCTCAAGTTGTAAAAATGTGCTAATAACGTTATTCTGAGAGTTATTTCCCTCTGCATTATGAACGCGCATCTAACCCACGGGACCGCGCCGCCCGGCAATTTCAAGTTACGTGTTCAGTACTACATGAGTTTCTCTTTACCCATGGATGCACAATAACAACGGACCATATCGCCTTACTGCCATCCCACGGAGCTGTAATAATGGATATATTGCACATGTTTGCTGTAATTCATCATTTGTAAAATATTATACTTAGGGATGCACGATAATTATCGGGCCGATAATTATCGGTCCGATATTAGGAATTATGACGTCATCCCGATAAACCCGATACCAGTATTAATAGCCCCGATAATATACAATATATTTTTTGGGTAAAAAAAAAGAAAAAAATACTGCGGTGTGGGTGGATTGGGATGAAGGGCGCTTGTTTTTTACTCGGCTCCTCCCGTTTTGCCAGTACTGTGGTATTAGTGGTTTAGGAAGAGGGGAGTTCTTCACAAATCCAGC